GCCGGACACAGCACAGGGAACCTGTCCCTGCACGAGCCCCACAGACACAGGCTGCTCCTGAGGGCACAGCACAGCTGCACACCCACCTCACACACGTGCAGCCCAGGGTCTCATCACAAGCACGCCCAATCACAGCCACTGCACTCACACACATGCACACACATACACACACACATGCATGCACACACGCGCACACATATGTACGTGTACACACACATGCACACACGCACACACACGCAAACACATGTACGTGTACTCACACACATGCACACACGCACACACGTGCATGCACACACACGCACCCACCACACACACACTCAATCACAGGCACACACACATACATAGTTTTTCTCTGAACAACTGAGGCCTGGCAGCTTGCTGGGGGAAAGTCGCCCCGTGGCCTACAGCACCTGGTGAGTGTCCTCCCCAGAATGCTGGAACCACTGGACGGAGGGAGGCTCGGGGGTCACTCAGCTGTGACCTCCCCAGTAGTGGCCCCATGATTCCTCCAGTGATACCCCAGGATTCCCTCCCATGCCACGCCCCTTACAGCCACAGTCTCTTGCCAAGGGCCCAGCAGACACCAGGCATCTCACATGTGGCCACCAAGGGCCCGGGCCTGAGGTGGTACCATGTGGGCACATGAGACCCCTCAAATGGTGCATGGACAGAAGCTGATTTCTCAGTGGACAGTGGAATCACTATCCTCAAGGGCCCAGGGACTAGTGGGTCACGAGACAGCACACGGCAGTCCTGGACGAGGACACAGAGCAGCTCGACACAGAGACACTTTCAGGAGCACAAGAAAGGGATGATTTCACTTGTCCCCCTTTTGTGAGATCAACCGTGAAAAGAAAGGCCCTACATGACAAAAACTTCTGAGCTGAACTGCTTCCTGTGGTAGTTGTTTCTGTGGAGAACCCTATGGGAAGAATTCTATGTGGAACTATGTAAAAGTCTACAATGGGGAGTTAGTTGACGATGTTACAAAGCGTCCCTGCTCAGGGCTCACTCCTGGCTCTGCACGCAGTGATCACTCTGGCAGGCTCAGGGACCATAGGAGGTGCTGGGGTCTGGGCCCAGAAGGGCTGAATTGCAAGGCAGCTGCCTTACCCATTGTACTATCTGACTCGCCCACAAAACAGCACCGAAGCACTGTCCTCCCATTGTTCACTGATTTGCTCTAGCTGGCGCCAGTAACATCTCCATTGTGAGACTTGTGACTGTGTTTGGCATATCAGATACGCCACAGAGAGCTTGCCAGGCTCTGCCATGCGGGCAGGATACCATCGGTAGCTTGCTGGGTTCTCTAAGAGGGACAGAGAAATCGAACCTGGGTCAGCTGCCCTACCCGCTGTGCTATCGCTCAGAAATACTTAAATGATTTTGCCGTTAAAAAAATAATAGTAAAAGAGGGCTGGACAGAGAGAAAAGCAGGTAGGGCTTTTTCCTTGCACACAGCTAACCCTGATACCCTATATGTTCCCCAAGCACCACCAGGAGTGACCCCTAAATACAGAGGCAGGAGTAAGCCCTGAGCATCACCAGGTATGAGGAGGAGGAGGTGGAGGAAGAAGAGGAAGAGGAATAGGAGGATGAGGAGGAGGAGGAGGAAGAAGAGGAAGAGGAATAGGAAGAGGAGGAGGAGGAAGAAGGAGGAGGAGGAGGAGGAGGAGGAGGAGGAGGAGGAGATGGAGGAGGAGATGGAGAAGGAGAAGGAGAAGGAGAAGGAGAAGAAGGAGAAGAAGGAGAAGAAGGAGGAGGAGGAAGAGGAAGGGGGGAGGAAGAGGAGGAGAAGGAGGAGGAGAAGAAGGAAGAAAGAAGAAGGAAGAAGGAAGCAGCAGCAGCAGAGAAGGTGACCACAGAGAGATGGGGAGAGAGTGACTAGGAAAGGCACCGAATAAAGAATTGAGGAGTGAGTGACAAAACCAGGAAACAGGGGTCTCACTGCTATAAATCAGAGTCACAGAAATGAAAATGGGGAAAACGAGCTGGACCCCCATGGTGCTGGGCTGGAGCGACACGATTAGGGTGGACCTGTGTCTCTGAAATGTGTCTTTGTGTGACATACTGAATATGCAAGGGGCAGCCCTGCATACCTGAGCATACAAACAGGCCTAAGGGAAGAGACACAGAACATGAGAAGCCTGTGTGTCCACGCATGTGCCCGGCTGTCCCTACAGTCCACAGGGAGGGCCCCAGAGCAAACCTGCTAGCGGGAGCCACATGCAATTTTTCAGACTGTTCTTCAAAATATCATTTTCCAATAAAAGAAGAACCAGGAGTACTTGAAGACTGAAAGGAATGTAAAAATGACAGCAACGAGTGCACAGCTCCCACTGGCCACGGGATGACAGCCCACTAATACAACAGGACCCACGAGCACACAGAGATGAACAGAGAGAAAAACGCGGCCGTGGCCAACCACTTTCCAATCAACTGACATCACGAGAGGTGGCCACACTTCTGAACTGTCCCGCTGAAGACAAGAAATAGTCAAGCGCGAGCACCGGACAGACCCAGGCTGAGAGCCAACCTACGGCCTGTCTGGGCACCTTCCAAACAGAAGGTCCTTCTGCAAGGGCCCTCTCCTGCCACACACCGGCAAGGCTTAATGAGTGCACGAGGCCCAGCCAGGTCATATCCTGAGCCCACCAGGGCACCCGAGTGCAGAGCCAGGGGGGAGCCCTCAGCACCGCCAGGTGCGGGCTAAAAACAGAAACAGGGCCAGAGCCACAGGACAGTGGGCAGGCGCTTGCCTTGCTGCAGTCGACCCAGGTTCGATCCCCGGCATCCCAGAGGATCCCCCAAGAACCGCCAGGAGTAATTCCTGAGTGCAGAGCCAGGAGTAACCCCTGAGCATTGCCGGGTGTGATACCCTTCCCCACGACCCCTTGGATGGGGGCGTGCCCAGGTGGTCTAACTCTTTCTCCCGAGCTGCAGACGGGGACTCTGGCCTGTGGGCATTTGAGGGTATGCGACCTCGGGTCGAACTCACATCAAATGATTCAGGGAACCATCACGTTGCACTTAAAATGTGCTCTGAGTCTGTCACGTGTCACAATTAAGCATTTTTTCACTTGTAAGTGGAAAGAAAGCAAAGAAGATGATATCATGTTAAACCATCAGCTGAGTTCAGAGGGGCCAAGCCACCCTGGTCGCAAGCAAATCCTGACACCCAGCTAGAACTCAGAGGACCACACACTCAGTCCTGCGCCCCAGCACTCGAGGACACTGCAACCCCCAACATGTAGCCATCTACCCCAATCCCGCCAAGCCCCTGGGCAGGCTCAGACCCAACACAGCGAAAGAACCAGAACTAACAGTCCATACTGGATGGGTTTGCTCTGCACGACTCTATGGCATGGAAGCAGGAGCAAACGGCCTCACCCACACTCAGAAATAACCCTGCCTTCCATCCTGGGCCCCCCACGCCCGGGTATGTGGGACCAGTGACCGAGAACACCAGGCCTTAGGGGTCAGGACTGGGCTGCTCCTTCCCATCACCCCACCCCTCCCGGGCCCTGGCTGTCACGCCCACAAACTGCCTCAGGTTCCACTAAAGCACTTTCATGGCCTTGATCCAGAGACTCACAAATGAATCTCAGAACGAAGCAGCTCGCTGCAGGAATGGCTCTGGGAACTAAATTAAGTTTTAGAAATCCACTAGCGTGGGGCTGGAGTGATAGCACAGCGGGTAGGGTGTTTGCCTTGCATGCGGCCAACCTGGGTTCGAATCCCAACATCCCATATGATCCCTGAGCACTGCCAGGAATAATTCCTGAGTGCAGAGCCAGGAGTAACCCCTGAGCATAACGAGGTGTGACCCAAAAAGAAAAAAAAAAAGAAATATACAAGCACGCAGCTGCTTTCACTGCTGTGCAATTCTTTTTTTTTTTTTTCCTTTTTTTTGCTTTTTGTTGAATCACTGTGAGATAGACCCTTACAAACATCTTATACTATTCATAACAAAAGCAACACAAAATAAATTATCTTGCATCTGCCTTTGGGGCAGGCTTGATTGGTGGTGGGACACACAGAAATAATGATGGTGGGACGGTACAATAGTGGTGGGATTGGCGTTGAAGTATTGAATGCAATCAATTATTGTGAACAACTTTATGAAAATAAAATTTGAGGAAAATGAAAAAGCAAGCAAGAACCGTGCCTCGTCTGCTTGTTTCTGCACAGACCTTTAACACCGCCAGGCTTGGGGCTGGAGCGATGCAGTGGGAAGGCCGCCTGCGCTGCACACAGCCAGCAGACCTGGGTTCGATCCCCAGCACCCCATGTCGTCCCCGGAGCACCCCCAGGAGTGATCCTGAGAAAGCCCTGAGCACTGCCAGGTGTGGCCCAAGAAATATCTGTACAGTCAAGCTCCTCCCCACCTGTCACCTGCCACCCAAGGAAGGAGATGCAGGCCCAGCCTCCATCTCAGGGAACGCCAACCGCACACCACCCCCAGGGAGCCCTGCAGGTGTGCGTGATGACACATGAATGACTGATGGTTTCCCTGACATCTGCCTGCTCCAGAGCAGGAACTGAGGAGCCACAGACATTCCAGCACCTCATGTGAGAGGGACTTCCAGATAGAAAAGACCACAGGGATGGTGGTGAACGGATGGGAGGAAGGATGGGAGGGGAGGGAGGGGGGAGAAGGGTGGGAGGGAGGGAGGGAGGGAGGGAGGGAGGGAGGGAGGGCCGTGGGAGGGTGGATGGATGAACAGGCAGACAGGATGACAGGTGGGTATGTGGGTGCCTGGATGGATGAGTGGATAAGAAGATACATGGGTGGGTAGATGGAAGGACAAATGGATGGATGGAAGGATGGACGGAAGAGGGTGGACGGACGGACGTGTGGACAGATGGATGGACGGACGCACAGGGAGATGCACACATGGAGGGATGATGATGATGATGATGATGATGATGATGGACGGACAGAGAGAGATGGACAGATGTGAGCACGCGAGGGATGGGGAGCCAGTTCCCCAGCCTACCTGCTGCTGCTGGGCACGGAGGTCCCCGATCTCCTTCTGGTCTTCCTCGTGGAGCCGCTTCATGTCCTCCCAGGACTGCTGCAGCAGGTTCCGCTCCCGCAGCAGCTGTCCGTTCTCCCGCCTCAGCATGTCCACGTCGTCCTTCAGCTGCGTCTGGTCACTCAGGAGCCGGCTGTGCAGGGTGCTGCAATCACATCCGCCCGGTGAGTGCTGCGAGCCCCCAACCCCAGCCCGAGACGCAGCCGCCGTCCAGGCCCCCACAGGCCGGAGGAGGACAGGTCAGCGTACCCTGAGGCGGTCAGTGTGCTTCTTAAAAGACCTGCCGCTGAAGGAGCACATGACGGGCACGAGAGGACGCGGGCCCCAGGCACGACGGACCTGGCCCCTCCGACCACAGGCAAAGTCAGCCGGCAGGCCAGGAAGCAGCCCCAGAGGGGCGCCAAGTGCAAAGCAGCGCCGCCTGTCGGTGCTCCGAGGCCAGACAGTTCGCCCAGAAGCCCGTGATCTACCTGCCTCAGCTCCTGCTCTGAGCCCTGTCCTGCTGCCTGGTCTGACAACGGCGGTGACGTGTGAGGGGGAGCGGCTGCACTGAGACCCGGGCACAGTGGCACGCGCTGCGTGGCAGCTCCACACTGCCGGGAGCCCCTCGGGCAGGCCCCACTCACTGGTAGAAGTCGGTCTCCTTGGCCACCTCCTCACACCTCTTTAGGGCGTTGGTGTGCTGGTTCTGCAGGCTCTGCAGGTCCGACATGGCCCGCACACACTGGATCTTCAGCCTCTCGTAATCGGGATTCAGCCTGTGATAGGGCCTGGCCCAGACAGGAAAAGGTCCCGTGAACAGAGGCCCTGGGGTCACACTCTGAGGAACATCCGGCCCCCAGCGAGCCGCGTCCTGGGGCCTTTGGACTCGGCAGTTCCCACCCACTGCTCTGAGCATGGTGAAACCAGGCGCCTCGGCCCCCAGTGGACCACTGTGGACTGTGGACCACCAGGATCCACAGTCAGGACGCGGGCACCTGGGCCGCCCAGGCACCTGCTGCGGCCTGCAGAGCGGACGGGCGGCCACGTGCTTCCAGGCCTGAGCATCAGGGCTCTGGGCGGGACTCCTCCCTGGGCCTTGTGTGTGCAGGTAAAGACAGCGGGGTGGGAAGCAGAGGGGCCTGGGAACTGGCTAGAGCCTCCTGGAGGGAGAACTGGCAATGGGCAACCAATGCCCAGCCCCGCGGGAGCACCCCCAGCTGTGCTGCACACTCATCTGAGCAGCTCTGCGAGACCCTCGGGGACCCTCGGGCCCTGCCATCTCTGTACACGCCCACCCCGCGTGGGGCCGGAGTAGCCACGTACCACTGTGTTCCGCTCCAAGGGACACGTCCACATGGAGAGACTCGGGAGCACCAGGGAGCACCTGACTCAGGGCCAAGGCCCAGCACCACACACCCCCCAAACAGCAATCTCCATGACGAGGCAGGCCCTGCGCAGAGGGGCAAATCCCTGGCACTCCTAGAAGACTCCAGACCTACCCACCGGACCGCAGCAGCCTCAGCCAGAAGGAGCCTCTCTCCTCTATGAGGCCTTCCTGCATGGCGCAAGCCAGTGTAAACTGTCCTCGCCTGCCCTGGCCACGGGACCCCACCATCCACCACTAAAGGCCAGCAGAAGAAGCAGCGGGAGATTTCCCTCAGCACTCCAACACACGGCCAGAGAGACACAGTACAGGGAGTAAGGTGCTTGCCTGGCATGCAGTCAGCCCAGGTTTGAGCCCTGGCAAGGCACCGGGTCCCCTGAGCACTGTCAGGAGTGATCCCTGAGCACAGAGGCAAGAGTTAGTCCTGAGCACTGTTGGGCATGGCCCCCAAACGAAACAAAGGAAGTCTATAAAACAGCCGTGTGCAGCCGTGTGAGAGGGTGTGAGCCACTCGCCTGCTGGGTGCTGAGGCGAGTGGGTCACGGGAGGGCGGACGGCTGCGTGCATATGTGGCCATCAAGGGCTTATCAGTGGGGGCACCACCTCCCGGGGATGCGCACTATCTGGGGGCTGGAAGGCAGAGGCCACACAACCAACCAGGCCAGAGGCACCAGAGCAGAAGCCTGAGGCGGCTGAACCAGCTGGCCACCTGCAAGGAGGGTGGGCGGCAGAGGCCGGTCACACACACACGCACACACATGCATACACACACACGCACACACACATGCACATACATGCATACACACACATACACATGCACACACATGCATACACGCACATACACACACACACATGCACATACACACACGCACACACGAGGGGATACCCCCACACCTCCCAGTTCCCCAAAGCTGAACATCAGTCCGCAACTGACCTGGTCCCTACACCACAGCCTCCCACCCTGGTCTGGCAGCCAGGGGCCGGACATCTCCCTCGGGCAGGGCGCGGGCACCCCCCTACCTCTTGTCGAAGGCCGTCCCGTGGCTGGCGAAGGCCAGGCGCTTGCGCAGCTCGTTCCTCTCCCGGGTCAGGAGGCGCAGCTGCACTGAGAGGTTCTCCACCTTGTCATCCACCTGCCGCTCAGACAGCAGAGGCGGCGGCGATGGCGCCTTCCCCGTGGTGCCTGGCAGGACAGAGGGACACAGTGAGATGGAGGCCAACACTGTCCGTGTGGGCCCACGTTACTGACTCAGTGACATGCCCAGAGGACCCGTCCATGATGACGGCGCCCGGGAAACGAGGAGGAGGAGAGCTAAGCTCTGCACCGAGACCCAGAGCAGCCGCTGCCGCTCACGCCCCCACCCTGAGCACCCCACTTGCTGCCCACACCCTGGAGAGGACTTCTACCTTACACATGGCCGACCCAGGCTCAATACCCTGCACCATCCAGGATCCCCCAGGCCCTGCAAGGAGGGAGCCCTGAGCACAGAGCCAGGAGTAAGCCCTGAGCACTGCCAGGGGTGGTCCCAAAACAAGCCATAATGAGAGGCCAGAGCAACAGCACAGCGGGGAAGGCCTTTGCCTTACATGCGGACAACCCCATTTGAGCCCCACATGATCCCCGGAGTACCACCAGGAGTGATTCCTGCGTGCAGAGCCAGGAGTAAGCCCTGAGCGTTGCTGGGTGTGACCACCCCCCCAAAAAATCAATATTTTTAGAATGCAATGCACTGTAGCACTGTCCTCCCTTTGTTCATCGATTTGCTTGAGCGCGCCCAGTAAAGTCTCCATTGTGAGACTTGTTGTTACTTGTTGTTACTGTGTTTGGCATATTGAATACGTCAAGGGGAGCTTGCCAGGCTCTGCTGTGCAGGCGAGATACTCTCGGTAGCTTGCCGGGCTCTGCGAGAGGGGCGGAGGAATCGAACCCGGGTCAGCCAGGCCAGCCGCGTGCAAGACAAACGCCCTACTGCTGTGCTATGGCTCCAGCCCACTTTTCTAGAAAACGAAAATACATATGTGCACATGTATCTGTAAGCATTCAGTCATACATATTTTGTTTACTTTCCATATATTACACAATTTAAAAAAACGTGGGCCAGAGTGTTAGCACAGCGGGTAGGGCGCTTGCCTTGCGTGCAGCTGACCAGGGATCAATCCCCGGCGTCCCATAGAGTTCCCTGTGCCTCGCCAGAAGTAATTCCTGAGCACAGAGCCCAGAGTAGTACCTAAGCATTGCCAGGTATGACCAAAAAAGCCAAAAACAAATAAAATTTGAAAAGAATAAACAAGAGGCCAATAAATTACCAATCATGGTTCACCTACAAAGACAGATAATATCCATTTTGTCTGAAGTTACAGAGAACTAGATAATTTCATATGCTAATAGGTAAGAGAACAAATTCGCAAAGCCTTACTGAAGAACAGTGGCTAGCTATATATATATATATATATATATATATATATATATATATATATTCCATGTGATCATTCAAATACTAAATATCCACCTAGTTAAATACTACTACATGCTCTCAAATGCGCTGGAGCAATAGCACAGCGGGTAAGCCGTTTGCCTTGCATGCGGCCGACCCGGGTTCAATTCCTTCGCCCCTCTCAGACTCTCAGAGAGGAGCCTGGCAAGCTACCAAGAGTATCTTGCCTGCACGGCAAAGCCCGGCAAGCTCCCTGTCACATATTCGATATGCTAAAAACAGTAACAACAAGTCTCACAATTTGTTGTGAGATGTTACTGGTGCCCGCTCAAGCAAATCGATGAACAACGGGAGGACAGTGCTACAGTGCTACGTGCTCTCAAATATGTATGAAATCTTTCCCATTCACTCTGCCATTATTTATAATTGTGAAGCCAACCAGGAAGGACCCATGGAGAGTACCAGAATCCTTACAGTGCGTGTTATGCAGTTGCTAACAAGATCTTTATGTTGGAGCTGTCATGAAATGTTCTCAGTCATGGTAACTGAACCAAAAAATAACTCACAGAACATAGACATAGCATAACCCTATTTTTTCAGCTATAAACATGTACATAAACTTAGGGATATATGAAAAACAGATCACAGATGCACACTCTAGAGAATAAATTTCCTTTGACCCTGATGCTCCCATGGGTCTCCTGAGGCCCTGCTGAGACCTGGCTAAGGAGGTTCTCAGGGCGGTGAGCAGGTGACCCACAGGTCCTGAGGGCCGAGGAGCTGTGTGGCGCCGAGAGCCAGGTCAGACCCTATGGGCACATGCCCACCCCTCCCCCCCCCCCGGCCAGAAGCCACCCAAGCAGCCCTGGGAGCCAGCATGGAGGAAGTGTCGAGCAGAGCTGCCCATGAGGCAGCGAGTGTCTTCTGCCCAGGCACCGTGGCCAACTGCAGGCCTGAATCACCTGCTTGGGGGAGCCACGTGGCCACCACGGCACAGTCAGACCCAGACTAGGGCTCCGTCCTCCATGTCCAGAAGAAGAGACCATTGGAGCTTCTGTGTGAGACGCGTGTCCACCGCTCCCCTCCAACCCCGCATGACCATGGCCGCCCTCCAGACACGCTCTGCTGCCATCCCCACCCGCACCCTGGAACAGGTTGCAACCTGGAGCAGGTCGCACATGGGCTCCACCGACTGGGCCTGCCCGCTGCTGGCACCAGTCAGGTGCTCCCCAGAGAAGGGGACACCGGGGCTGGCCCGGGCCTCCCACACTGCCGGGCCCCAGTTGGCTGGCCGGCTGATGGTGCAGCTTCAAGCTGTCCCAGGCCGGGGCTCCACACACTGAACCCAACGGCCCCCAAGATGCACCTGACTCTGAAAACCACCCATAGCAAGCAGGACATCCCAGCTCCGGCCCACACTTCCAGGTGAGAAATGTCTCTCAGGGGCATCCTGGAGGCCCACTCCTGAGACTAGCCCTACACAATAGGCTCCACTCCCTGGATCCTCACCACGCTCCTTGAGCCCCCCCCCCCCCCCCCACACACACACACACCTCCCCATCCCACCCGAGGGCCAGCGCCACTGTGGTCTCCACTGCAGACCCGGGAACCTTCTCCAGGTCAAACCACTTCCGGGTCACAGGCAGTGCTGCCCCAGAGCTGCCCCAGAAGGCCAGTGTCCCGTCATCTCAGGGACACCCCATTCCCCACGCTCCTGAGAATAAATGAGGAGGGAAGAGAGTTTGAGAGAAAAAGGTGCGAGGCCCCGAGAGACGGAGATAGGACAACCAAGACAGCGCTTCCTCGCACGAAGCAGACCCTGACTCACAGGTTCCCGAGTCTGCAGGGGTGATCCCTGAACACAGCGCTAGTCTGATCCCACAGCACCACCGGGTGTGATCCAGAAACACACAAGAAAGAGCAGAAGCCCCTTTGGTGGGCTGGCCTGGCCCACAGGTCACTGCTGACCCTGACCTTGGGTTCCCCAAGAGACTGGCCGTGCTCAGGGACTCCCTCCTCTGTGCTCCTCAGCATCACCTCCGCTCTTGGGATCACCTGGCTGGGAGGAGGGATGCACTTACGTGGAGGGAGGTGGCAAAGGAGTCACCTGGGCTTCCTGGGGACAAGAGTCTCATGCCCGAGCTCACTCGAGGGCTGGCGCCGCCATGAGCCAGAGGCAGAGGAGCGGGGCCCGGAGTCGTTGTGCCTGTCCTTCCAACAACACGAGGACACGGGAGGGCAACGCAAACGCAGGGTACCTGGGGTTGGCAGACCCAGGGGCCCCGTGGAAGGTGAAGGGGGGGACACCTGAGACACCTGAGGGTTCACTGGACAGAACCCCTGAGGATGCGTGGGTGGGTGGGGGTCTGTGACATCTGACCCCAGTGGGCCAAACTACCCCGGCAGCCCTGCCGGGTTCTGCAGGTGAATGAGACCGAGTGGCCCCCAGGTGGGTATGCCAGGTCAGAGTCACGTGGGGCTTGGGCGTTGCTTTTCATCTGGGGGACCATGCCGGGAGATGCTCGGGAATTACTCCTGACGCTGCTCGGGGGCTTCGTGGGATGCCAGGAACTGAGCCAGCTGAGGCGCACACAAGGCAAACACCTCCCCACTGTCCTATCGCTGAGGTCCCAACACGTGATGCGGGGGACAGGCTGCCTGAAGCCCACCTGGAAGTGCCTTCTCCTTGTTTGGGTTTTGTTCTAGAGCAATGTCCGGCAGGGTGCCTGGAGGTCACCCCCATTGGTACGTGGGGGTCCACACAATGCTGAGGTTGAACTGTCCTTCGGGAACGCAAGGAATGTGCTCAGCCCGCTGACCGTCTCCCTGGCCCCACGGACGTGGGGAGGATGGGGCAGGGATCTCAAGAAGAAGTCAAGACGGACAGACCAACGCAGGAGGGACCAAAGTAACAGCGCGTGTCTCCAGGAACCCTTTCCGGCCCAGCCAACTGCGGACAGCGGGCCTCTGTCTTCTTGAGCCTCAGGCCAGGGGCCAGCCTGGCAGTACCTGGCATTACTCCCAGCATGACGCACCTGGAGGTGCTCAGGGGACCATGCGGTGCTGGGTTCCTAGCTGAGACTCCCACACGCAAAGCACAAACTCCAGCATGTGGGGCCATCCCCTGTCCCTTTGAGACATCCCAAAGGTGATGCAGTGGCTGAGCGGTGAGAAGGACTCAGTCACAGTGAGAGGGCTCCGGCTCCCGGCCACCTGCTCCCGGTCTCTGTCACCCCTCCCCCAAACCAACACCAGATCCACCATGAAGGGCCGACAAGGACAAATGTGACTTCTCTTCCACACCTGCAAATACCTGGAGACAGCCACCAAGTTCCTCATCATAAAGCAGGGCCAGGTTGGCAGTACAGCGGGTAAGGCACTTGCTTTGCATGTGACCGATCCAGATTTGATGGCGGCCTCTCACACGGTCCCGGCACCAGCAGACGGGGTCCATGAGTGCAGAGTAGGGAGTCACCCCTGAGAGCTGCCGGTGTGGCCCGAAAACAAAGGCAAGAGCAAACCCTGTCAGGCTCAGGAACCCAAACTCACTGGGTGGGACGGAACGAAGCAAAGGGGGGGCAGCTCCGCAGACGGTCAGACTCCACTCTGCATCCTGCCTAGCAAATCCCTCTCTCCTGTGCTTACACACGAGAAATTAAATTTTGGATTCTAAGTTCACCAAAAGAAACAGCACACAACCATTTTGTTGTTGTTGTTGCTGTTGTTGTCGTTGTTTTTGGTTTTGTTT